TTTTTTTTCCATAATTTATCCATATTTAAATAGTATAATACATAAATATAAATCTTATTAAAATAAGACTAAAAATTCAAATTTTTTAATATAGTTTCTATTCCATAAATATAAAAGATAATTTATTAAAATATTAATTAGAAATATGTGAGAGAAACCATAGCAATAAGATAATAAGTATACAATTCTTTCTTATATATTTAATGTATTTTTAGCATTAAATATTAATTTTACACTAGAGATAGATTTATATTTTAATCAATGGCTTTATTAAATATGATTTTAATCAATGAATTAGCTTTATAATCACATAAAGGCTTATATAATTTGTATGATCTTAAACTATAATCGATATAGAATTAATATAAACGTATAAGCTTTAATTCATTCGCTAGAATGCAATTCGAATGATAAATCCATTGTCACTGGATGGATTAAAAGTAAATGCCAACAAATTAATATATAACTTTATTCACTATTAATTAATATTATACTAATTATTAAATATAATCATATTACTCAAGTGTCAAATTGTATGACAGTTATAATATATGTACAGTATGATAAATTCAGTTGATTTATCATAAATTAAATCTTTCTGTAGGTAAAATTGAAGTAAAACTTATATATATATATATATATTATTTATTTATTTATTATAACGTTCTGAATCTTACGGTATATTTAATTTAAGTTAAATCACACGAAAAAATAGTTTAACCTCCGAACAACAGACACTAACAGAAGCATAAAACTGGCCTTTATTTGGAGATTATCTTTACATATATGTTTTTTATTATTATATTTTATTATTAAACTTACAAGTTAGTGTAAATATATTTGCTATAAAACAAGCCAAAAATATTTGTATAGTATACAGTATAATAATAAAAAAATCTTAAAATAAACAGTAGAAATTATTAATAATTTCTTCGGAATATCTTTATTTTTTGAGGATATTTACGAAAAAAAATAATCTTCTTTAATTATTAAATTTGGCATTTAAATTAGGAATTTTATTTTTTAATTCAATTACGAAAACTAAATATATTTCATTACACTAAATTAAACATTAAATTCATTGAAAAAAACTATTTAAATTGAAGTCGAAAACATTTTAATTTTTAAAGATGTGCTTCTTTAAGATATAAATAATTAAATATATTTTCATTATATTAAATTATATATTATTCGGTATATTTATTGTAATTATAATAATTAATACAAAATTGGGCTTCAATTTGAAAAAAAATATATATATATATATTGTAGACCTATGAATTTCCACTGTTGTCTGTCTGTCTTTCCTTAATCTTGAGAATGGAGTTAAATAGATGAAATTCAAGACAAGATATGGAAAGATTAAGGGCAGGAGGTCCCAATTAACTATATATTAACTTCTGATATATATTATAAGTAACGTGATTTTTATTGCTAACAGGACTCTATTGCTAACAGGAAAAGTATGATGTACAGGGGCAAGACAGTAATTTGAAATGGAGAGTATATATTTTAAATTAAATAAATTAAAAATATAATATAATAAACTATCAAAATTATATTTTCTTTAATTTCGTAGGGTTTTATTTCTAATACTATTGGACACAGAAAAATCAAAGTTGGACTAGTCTAAGATTAGAAACACTAACTTGAACAATAGCAGTAAAAAAAAAAAAACTAATATAAGAACACCTAACAGAATTTTTCCATAAAGAAAATATCATTTTTGGTAACACGAGATAAGTTTTTTTAATCGTTTATTTACTTTCAGTTATAAAAATTTTCAGTAAATATTGATCATCTAAAAAAAATCCTAAAACTTATTTTCTAGAATTATTAATAAAATAATAAGAGATTAATAAATAATACATTTTTAATTTTATAAAACAGAATTCTCTTTATTTATACTTCTATATTAAAAGAGACTTGATGACTTCCATTTACTTGAAATGTTTACGAAGATATCCTTTATGTAACGTATTATGGTGTAGAGCAATTGAAGCAAAGGAACAAGACATTCTCAAGCGATTTATCAGATTAGTTGTGGACAGAAATGACATCTAGAGTTGTAACAGTTTCGAGAGGAAATAATATTAGATCTATCTATGTTAAAATTAAATTACATTGCCGCAATAATATATTTCCAAAATTTGTTTTGCACTTTATTGAAATTAGCATACGATTCAATTAACAAAATTAATCAGAATCATTACTAATTCTTCCGGATCTTCATGGCTCTGAAGGACTTTATTGCAGTGCTCATTTACGTGCGATTATCCATCATATTTCTTTTTTTTTGTAATGAAATGGTTAACTAATACATTAAATAAATATCGATTATCATTTGTACTAGTATTAAGTGAAGCATGGTGAGTTTACAACACTTCCCATCCTATTTGAACGTCTGAAGATGACGGATAGTCTATCTGTCATCATCTCTAAGCTCCTTCCGGAAGCATAAACCCGTTGTCATTTGGGAGTAGGAATTTTTCTCTTCTATCCTGTTCGACGTCTTCTTTCAAAATATGAGAAAGCGCTGCATGGCAATTCATCCTTCGTGGCACTCTTTCATGCAATGCGAAGAAATCTTCAAAACTTCTGTATCTTACATCCTTCCATATCAATGATATAGAACTATTGTAAAACGGTTATAATAAATTTATATTTAGCGTTACACGAATAAGTTTACGCCAATGTATTGAAGTAATGAATAAAGCACATATTCAAAGAATATATTTATAGAAACACAAGACTTGTTTACATTAAACCGAATAAATCTCACGCCTATTTATAATTAAATTTTGTAACACGTAATGTATCTTGAATGAATTTTTATTATAAAATATAATAATTATAGTAATAACTGTTAACTATGATTATACATTATACTCTATTATGCTTCTATATTAGATAATATCGATTTATTTTTTTAATTATAGAGTTAAAAAATATGCAATCAATAAAGTAATGTTTATGCCCTTAAATCAACGAATTTCTAATAAATTTAAAGCATTTATCTTTAATGAATTTAAATTAATTCAATCTAAATTGAATATTTGTCAGCACTTCAGACCTAGAGAATATATTTATATGTCTTGATTAATAAAATATGTAATTTGGTGAGGCTTCAACCTCAACAAAGAAGCTATTTTTAGTAAATCCAGAGAATGTCATATCACTTCATGATAAATCATAGAGACATTATTACATCAACAGTATCATTCTACTGATCTTTTCCATAACTATTTTTAGAAATGGAACTAATTAATGAAAACACTAATTAAAGATTCATTTCAAACTTCATTAAATCCGTAAAATGTTAATATTTTAAATGAAACTAACTCTTATATAATTAAAATTAATTGGGATCTTTCTGCCAAAAAAATTTTTTTTCCATAATTTATCCATATTTAAATAGTATAATACATAAATATAAATCTTATTAAAATAAGACTAAAAATTCAAATTTTTTAATATAGTTTCTATTCCATAAATATAAAAGATAATTTATTAAAATATTAATTAGAAATATGTGAGAGAAACCATAGCAATAAGATAATAAGTATACAATTCTTTCTTATATATTTAATGTATTTTTAGCATTAAATATTAATTTTACACTAGAGATAGATTTATATTTTAATCAATGGCTTTATTAAATATGATTTTAATCAATGAATTAGCTTTATAATCACATAAAGGCTTATATAATTTGTATGATCTTAAACTATAATCGATATAGAATTAATATAAACGTATAAGCTTTAATTCATTCGCTAGAATGCAATTCGAATGATAAATCCATTGTCACTGGATGGATTAAAAGTAAATGCCAACAAATTAATATATAACTTTATTCACTATTAATTAATATTATACTAATTATTAAATATAATCATATTACTCAAGTGTCAAATTGTATGACAGTTATAATATATGTACAGTATGATAAATTCAGTTGATTTATCATAAATTAAATCTTTCTGTAGGTAAAATTGAAGTAAAACTTATATATATATATATATATTATTTATTTATTTATTATAACGTTCTGNATCTTTATGATATAAATTATTAAAAATGCATTCTAGGATTATATAAAAAAAATTGACTATTTTACATATAAATACATTTTATAATATATAATTCTTCATAGAAAGTAAATGAAATCCTTTATCTTTATATTTGAATTATATAAAATGACTTGTAAATTTTTTATTCTAGTATAGAAATTATATTTATTTCTCACTTATAAAATGAAATAGAGGAGATTACACATCAAAATTTATAATAATAAACGCTTTATTATATTTATAAGTAAATTAAAAATAGTAAATAGAATGAAGATAATTATAACATATATAAATTTAAATAAAAATGAAAGATTCTATGTATACTTTAAATAGCTTTTGTTAATTTAAATATTATTATAATTAAGTTTATATTTATTTTTTAAAAAACTAATAACACCTGCACCTTGAGAATATCAAATACATATTAAAGAGTAGTGTTTCTATATTTAAAAAAAAACATCTGCATTTTAAAGATAATAATCTGTTTCGAAATATATATAATAAAATATATTTCAAGGTGTTAACAGTTACTAAAAATAGCAGAGAAAAATTTTCATAATTTAAGTGGAAAAATTAAATCGTAATGGAATTCAATAACATTACTTATAAACCTATATAATCCCAGCCTAAATACCAGAACAGGTTGCTAAAATTTGGTTAATTTAATAACTTCCAACGTATATATTATCACGAACAGTCACTCGACACAATTTCAACACCAATATTTACTATGTTGCAATAAAATAAATGCAAAGTACACATTTACTAATTTACTAATAAGATCTTTTTTTTTATTATTTTAATATAAAAATTTTCAAAATTAAGAAATTAATATCTTAAATAAGCTTATCTCTATACATTAATATTCGTAACGACATAGGTCAAAATGGATAAACAGAAAAGAGAGAGGACAATTAGACAAATGTCAAGCATGATCGTTTTAACGTGATTAATTTTAATATTATTTTTGAAGAATTTTAAACGAAAATTCGAAGGAAACGTAGAATTTTTTTACGTTGTTTGAATTTTAAAATATATATATTTTTTTAACTCCTAAACGATCACGAGAGATCACCACTTTTGCTGAATAAAGAGTTCACTTGTGTATATAATTAGAGACTCGTGACTCGTAAAGAACTGAAAGAGGATAAGCATTATAGGTCCAATAGTTTCAGGAGCTAACCAGTTACATGTTGGCGACCCGTTGAAGCATTAAGCTATTGGTTGGAGGCTGTAGATGATTTAGTACACACATACAAGCTTCAAGGTGACTTTCACCACACACCTGAATGTTACCTGATCATCACGTGATCTACACAAGGCAGTATGGCAAACTGTCGTTGGGTTGTGCTCGTGTGGCTATGTGGATGGACTTTATCTTCTGGTAATTATTCCATCGGTTATTTAGTAGGAAAAGATATAAAAAATCTAATTATATCCGGGGCCATCTCCTACGCTATCGAAAAGATAAATAAATCTAATATGCTTAAAGATCATCATAAATTGGAATTGATGTATTATGGAAAAGCTATGGATAATTTAATGATAACAAATATGATGTTACATCAATGGAAAGAAGGTGCAATCGCCTTCATAGGACCAGATGAATCGTGTGAAGTCGAAGCTACTATAGCTGCATCACTTAATCTACCTTTGATATCATATGTAAGTCAATATACACTTTTATCGTCATTAAATTACCTATTATTAGTACTATTAAAACACGTGTTTGTATGTATATAAGGAAAACTTATTACTGAAGGATTTTATTGTCTTTTTAACACAAAAAAAAGAACACTTTTACATAAAGAGCCTTATAATATAACTGTGTCTTAGAGGAACATAATGTTATAAACATGAGAATCTATGACCGCCTATATACCATGAATATTAATGTTCTTACTGTATCTAAGGTCATTATAATATAAAATACTGTAATGTTTATCAATGTGAATGAGTTATAACTTGCTAAAATATAATTTTCTTACACTACAGTATTCAAATTAATAATATATAGAATCATAACTTAAAAAAATAATTAAAATAAATTATTTTCAAATATATTTACAATTACGTAAAATAATTTAAAAGAATTACGTTCATATAATATACAAAGTATATATATAATAAAAAAGGCTATTAAATTATTTATATTAGAAATAACTGAATAAAATATAAGCTATGGAACGATAATATATTAAAAGAAAATCAATTAAAAATTGAAAATTTTAATTATAATTTAAAAGATCATAAAAATATTTTAAACTAGATTTAAGTGAATTTTCGTATAAATATTTTCTATACACATTAATTTTAAATTAACAAATATTACATTAAGCATTAAGAAGTGAAAGAATCGATCGTTGTAAATTCGTTTATCATGTTTGTTTGCTTAAACAACTTAAAAGATTCTAACGTTATACAAGTTTAAAACTTTTCATTTATCAAACAAACATTTGACAAAGAATGTTTCAATGAATTTAATTGATAAATTTAATTTAATTTAATTTTCGATTTATAAAAATTCCTCGAATTTTTCCTCATTATTTATTATGTATCAGAATGATAAAAATTTAATCATTATAGTCAATGAGAGAGAGAGAGAGAAGTATTATTTATATACATTTTTCAATACAAAATTGTATTATTAAATAATATTTTTATATATTAAATCGATCATTTAAAAATATATTTAAATATAAGATAATAAAAGGTTATTGAAGGAAATTTAGGAAAGTAAGAGACGTGTCCTCCATTCCTCCTAGTTATTAAACAGCTGCATTTTATATCCTCTCGTGATAGTTTTTTTTTCCCCTCTTATCTATATAAATATAGGCCTTTCTCGATAAATAAGAAGATAATGTATTAGTGAATTCATTGTTTATTAATTGCACAGTAGAAGATGCTCGAGGAATATACCACAAAATGATAAATATTAATGTACTGGTGAAGAAGTGATATTTCTTACGAAGAGGGGGAAATCACTAATTTATATAACATTTAATCTATGTAAGGATTTCTTTCAATGCCAAGTGCTTTAAGTAATTCTTGAAAGCTTTAAAAAAAGAAAAGTTCTACTTAAACTTTGAGAATTGCCAAGTTTTAAAATGCTAAATTATGATCATTTTCGTCGATTTATATTCAAATTATATAAATATAATGGGAAGAAATATCAAGAACTTCATTTAATCCATCCGGTTTACTCGAAATGAATTAATTCTAATCAATTTTATTCAAAAGTAAAGAAGTTTAATTATTAAAAAAAGAGAATAAATAAAATAAGTTTGTGTTTTATGTTACGAGTTTTAATTGGATATCGATTTTTAAATTTTTCTTGAATTTTTAAGAAGTTTAAAATAAATTTTTTTTTTTTTTTTTTNACACAATTTCAACACCAATATTTACTATGTTGCAATAAAATAAATGCAAAGTACACATTTACTAATTTACTAATAAGATCTTTTTTTTTATTATTTTAATATAAAAATTTTCAAAATTAAGAAATTAATATCTTAAATAAGCTTATCTCTATACATTAATATTCGTAACGACATAGGTCAAAATGGATAAACAGAAAAGAGAGAGGACAATTAGACATTAACCTAGATAATTTACTTGACCCCACCTTATATAGGATATGTTAGATTTTATTGTTTAATGGATAGGTAGCTTTATTTGCTAATTTATCATAAAAAAAAAAATTACAGTGAGGCACATTGACAATTTTTCTACACGTGTATAAAGATCTCACGAAGTTACTTCTTAACTGAAATTAATAAGTTTTGAGTTAAGTTATTAAAGTTTAGTTGTAAACAGAATTAATCTTTATCATCTTTTCGCTTGAAAAATATAAGAATATTAAAGCTGTAGATGTTTCGTGATCATTATTCTACTCCTCTTAAACTTCCTGCTGAAACTTTAATAAATCAGACCACCCACTACTGGAACGAATTCACAATTAATAATTAATGTGAAGTGTGACGTGTAAGCACCCGGTTATTTATCCTATTCGGTAATAGTAAATTCTTTTAAGGGTGATTTTTTTTAATAACAAAATAGGCCCAGAAGATATATCCGTTCACCCATCAACACCATTCGTTATTATTTTTTTTTCTCCATGACAGCTACAATATTAGGTGATTGTAAGTGACGATTGAATTTTATCTGTGATATTGTGATAAGATATAACGTGTATTATATTTATTTATTTATTTTTTATTACTATTGATAAATTTATCGATAGACGTCAAAGAACCTGTTCTTTTTCTGTTCACTCTCAACAAATTTATTAACTTTCTAACATTATTAATACTTTTTCATAAAACTTTTTCTAACATTATTAATACTTTTTCAGATAAAGAATTAAATATTTTGTATATATTTTTAAGTATTTATATAAAATAAACGTTTCTTATTATCGTAATTTAAATCATTCGATATAATTTTAACAAAGGAATAAATTATATAATTAAATTAATCAAGGTCTACGATATTGTTTCATTGTTCAACGATGTATAATCAGATTTAACATTGTGATCCGCGTGTTTAGTCGTGTTAATTGACGAAACAGAATTGATAAGATTCTCATTTAATAATAATATATGACAATTTATAGGTTACAGTAATGATTAAATTAAGATTTAAGATGGATATTTGAAGGTAAAATCTACTCGTTTATATTTATATATGTTGCAATTTGTATATAATTTAACAAAGTTAATAATTAATGAATTGATAGAAAAAATAAAATAAATAAATAAAGTTAGGCTATTATCTCGAATAAATATTTAGTTTAATTTATAAGAAATGACTTTATTTATTCTAATTTTTATATAAATAAACGATTTATTAGACAAAATAAAGCTCTAAAAATATTTTTGACTTTTATAAATCAAAATAAATTTCTATGTTAAATATTATTTTATTTTTTTATTTATTTAAGTAAATGTGAATTTCTTATTTTACAATATTAAATATGTATATTGAAATTAATAATTTTATAGAAGATGCAAATTATATACAGTAATTAAAATACAAATATAATAAAGAAGAGAAATAAAATTCTTTAATATAGATCGAAATTCTAAAATTCATTCTGATAAATTATATAATTTTAAATTAAATATTCATCTGTGAAAGAAATTAACCCCTTGAGTTTAATCAATGTAAAGAGTTTGTCACAGCAGCATTTTCTTTTAAACTAAACAATTACTAAACAAGTGTGTAAAAGTAGAAAATTTAAGGATTACAATTAATTGATTAAACCAACAAGAATTTCTATTTAATTAATTTAAAATTCGCTTCTCGTATCATCTCTTATTACAGCTGTAAATTCGATCAAACGAATGTAAAAAAAAAGTAAGAATTTGATTGAATTTAATACTTTTCGTGTACATAAAAAAAATTACTTATTAAAATTTGAAAAATGAATATTTTAATAATTATTTAAAAATATTTTTTTGCCTGTTTTATCAGTCGAGAACGAAAGAGGAAGTTAATCTTATCAGATATCCATCAGGGAATATATAAACTAAACAACAATTACTTAATACAAGAGCAAAAAAAAAAAAAAGCTTTAAACATCGTTCCAGTTCACTTATTTGACCGGGGAAAGTTAAATTTTGCAATTTCTTAGCACGAATCCTCCAGTGTAAATCGGTATTTAAGTTACTTAACCGCTAAAAGAAACAACACGAAAGAAGTAAAATTGAAATTTGCATGTCAACGATGCCATTTAAAGATTTTCATTAGCATTTTATAACTTAGTAAGCGAATTTCTGAATGAACTAGTAAGAAACAAACGAAAAAAACTTTCCTACTTTCATGCAAAATGTCTTTAAAACCTTGTTTTTAAAAATATTATATAGTATAATTCTATTTATAGAAAAATAAATATTACAAAATATTAATCAAAAAATAGAAAAATAAGTGAATAAACAGGTTGGATTGCTCGTAAAATATTAATATATTAAACAAGTAATTTAAGATTTTATAAACATTGAAAAAAGAGTTCGGAGTAATGGACACTTTAAATAAATAAATATAATTTAAATTTATTAATTCAAAATGGCAAAAATGTAACTAATAAACTACATAGTGACGAAGGAAAAAAGTCTAAATATATAAATAACTAAAGGATTTATACGTATTTATTTGTAGTATATATTTTAAAATTTGTTATATTATTATCATAATTTATGTATTTATATATACAATCGCGCCTTGGCCTTGTCATCATTTAGTTATTAATCATTTGAATCCATTTGGATTTAATAAATTGTTTCGATTATGTAAGCAGTTTTATCCAATAAAACTGAATTTGTTTTGGTAAATTAAGTATATTTACTCATTGAAAATTAAATATACAATACGATTTTAACTCGAGGAAATGTCAAAGTTCGAGTAGAAGAATTTGAAGAAATGACGTTGAATGTGTTATTTATAAATTATATATTTGAATTATAGACTATTAATACAATTAATTTAAAAAAGATTATCGTAAAAATCAGTGTTATAAAAGAGTAGATACTGTAGTAGAATATATTTAAAAGAATCTTAGCCTATATACAGTATTTCGTTTCCATGGTAATACGATATATTGACTGAATTCCATTTATATAATTGTATAACAGGATAAAATTTTGTAATTGGAGAAGAAGAATATA